GGCGACCCCTGCCCAGATTCCATGGACTTGATTGCGTGGGAGAACACGGCAGACGAATGATGCTCGCTACCGGACTGTCCGATAGTAGTGAAAATACGCCACTACTACGTAGGCTTTTTCGTTTTGTTTTTACTAATAGCTAATGTAATACATTGATTTAGATACCTAATATTAAATTTTCCTAATATTGTTACCCTATTCAAATACCTAATATTAACATCACATTGTCGTGACAATCACATCGCTTTTAGTGCGTCTACAATTTGCTCACATGAATGGTGATTTACAGATAACGAGTGTCCTTACACTGGTCAAGTATACGGGCCGCGTCTCGTGCGAAACATTTGTCCTGCTACTTGCGATGACATCAGTGGCCAGTCCAGCTGTCAGGTGTCATGCACACCGCGAGAAAATGTTACCACGCTGCCACTGTCCCGCGGTACGTTCTCACCATTTGTGTGTGTGTGTGTGTGTGTGTGTGACGTGTGTGGTGTGTGTGTATGTGTGTGTGTGTGTGTGTGTGTGTGGCGTGCGTCGTGCGGTGCGTGTGCGGCGTGTGCGTGTGCGTGGCGTGTGTGTGTGTGTGGTGTTTGTGGCGTCGCGGTGCGCGTGTCTGTGAGCGTGCGTGCGCGTGTGCGTGTATGTGTTTGTGTGTGCGTGCAGTGCATATGTGCTCGCGCATGCGCTGGGCCTGTGAGTGTGAGCGTGTTGTGCGCGTATGTGTGTGTTGCGCAACTATCTGTTAACGATGACTAAATTTCTACCTGCGTTTAAGATTCGCCTCAGAATTATAGTAAATTTAGCATCGAAAGAAACGCTCGCAGCGACACCAAACTCACATAAACTGTATATAAGTTTTAACGTTGATCTGAAATGTTTTCCAAGGTGCACCTTTCACGCATAATGTTCGGCCCGCAATCCTTATAGCCAGATGCGTTTCTCATTATAAGCATGGACAATTGTCAGGCGCGTCACACATTAATATAACCTAATGGAAGATATATATATATAATATATATATATATATATATATATTAATATATGAGGAGTGAAAAAAAACAAAAATGAGTTTATTATTCGAAAATATTCACTCCCTTGATGTATACACACACACTGCTAGCCACGCACGCACGCACGCACACGCCACGCACGCAACGACACGCACGCACACACACACACACACACACACATATATATCATATATTATATATATATGATATATATACATTACACAAACATATATAATATAGTATACACGCACGCCACGCACGCACGCACGCGCACGCACGGCACGCACGCACGCACGCACGCCACGCACGCACAGACACACACACACACACACACACACACACACACACACACACACACACACACACACACACACACACACACACACACACACACACACACACACACACACACACACACACATATATATATATATATACATACACACATATCAACAATCAGGAGTGAATAAAATTAACAGCTTTACGGGTGCAATGATAATCGTCCATCATGTAATTTAGGGACAAGTGCTAATGGGTGACGAGTGCATCCTTGTTGATGACTGTCCATGCACCGTCTACGTGATACAACCAAACGGGACAGAAACACGGATGGTTTATCCGTCCGGTGTCAACTTCACTGGAGACTACGACTGCCAGAACTGGTAACGTGTACTACACTCATCTTATATACTAAGAGCACTCTGGATGCTGGCTGCAACATGTTCTGCTTGCATCTATGACAAATACGACATACGCATATACGCTCTTATATGACATTATTTGTCATAGGAAGATTCTTCCTATGACAAATATTGGCGAGCCAACTTCGTTCCGCTTTACAGCTGAAATTCACTGCTGGCGTTCAAAATAGCGCTCCTAAACTCCTACGATGCGCACAACACATACAGCAATATTTGTCATAGAAAGAATCTTCCTATGACAAATAGTGTCATAGGAGAGCGTATATGCGTATGTCATATTTGTCATCGATGCTAGCAGAACAGACTGGGTAAATAGATGAAGAGATAATAGCAGGAGTAAATAATAATAACAATTGTGTGTGTTGTGATTATTTACTCCTGACTATAGCTATCTTGGGTCAGTCAACAGAAATATCATAAATACCCATTTATACTATCAGAGGTGAATAAAAAAAAACAGATACGTTTTTTTTATTTACTACTGATGCTATCAGATGTCACGAGTATTGCACAACACTTCCTGTGCAAAGGATAGGACATTTTATACCTATACATGATGTCATAATTTATTTATGATATTTCCGAGAACGAAAAACAAATATATACTCGCTATCGTGTTGCTTTAGTTCCGGGTGCGAGCTGCTATAGCGTAGGCATGGAGATATCGCATCTAACATCGCTTAATAGGATAACATTTGATGTTTGTTGATATGGTATATTATGGTTGATCTGTTTGTTGGTATGCTTGTTGATAACATTTGATAATTTTTCCAATCTTCCAGCACCTGCGAGGCAGGAGTTGCTAACTGTGTAAATTTCCCGGAATATCCGTGTCGCGGTAAGCACGACTAAACCAGATCACTGCAATTAAAATTCACGAATGCCTTAGTAATATATCAATTTGAAACAGTAGCACTAATCAGTATCCGTTGTGTGTCAAGGTGCGCTTAGGGCTCATGGATATTGGTGGAAGTATTATCAGGAAAGTCAGGCTGAAATGGCTAAGTTTAACAGCAGATAATTATACACTATGTGCTAGTTTACGTGTCATCGCTAATGTCATGAGTAAATAATCACGAATGTGTTTGATACGCAGCGTTTTTACCGATATTATATGGATTATATATATAAAAATAAATAAATAAATATATATAATTATTTATTTATTTATTTATTTATACCGATACCCGTATCTGTGATTATTTACTCCTGTTAATGTGTGATTAAACACTATGCGCTAGTTTATGTGGCATTGCTAATCTGTGATTGATGTCTGCATGCATGTCTGATGACAGTGGAGTGCGATGCATGGACATCCTGGAGTCCGTGTCACGTGTCGTGCGGCACGTGCGCTTACTACACGTACAGATACAGAGAGTGTCCTGATGAGCATGCCGGACCACGACACGAGGTGGACGAGTGTCCGCCAATATCCCAATGCCCTAGTAAGTGCAATACCATTGAAAAGGTGTAAATGACCTCAAGCTGCGACCTATCTCTCGCTCTCTCTCGCTCTCTCTCGCTCTCTCTCGCTCTCTTCTCGCTCTCCTCTCTCTCTCTCTTCGTTCCTCTCTTCTCGCTCTCTCTCTCTCTCCTCTCTCTCTCTCTCTCTTCTCCTATCTCTATCTCGCTCTCTCTCTTCTCTCTTTCTCTCCACACATGCACACGCACCATATGGCCGCACACACGCACACAACACACACACACACACACACACACACATGCTCACAGACCACGCACCACGCGCACGCGCACACGCACCACAGACACAACGCACGCACGCGCACGCGACTGCGCACGCGGCGACGCGCACGCACACGCCACGCCAACACGCACAACGCCACACGCACACGCACAACGCACACGCTCACTCGCTCACGCACACGCCAACATCGCACAGCACACGCACACGCACACGCACCGCACACGCACACCACACGCACACGCACACGCACACGCACAACACACACACACACACACACACACACACACATATATATATAGGCCTATAAACGAAACAAAATTCGCCGACGCCCTGTTCTAACAAAGTGAGCACAGAACTTTAAAGCAGCATATCTGCTGAAACTGGCACACGTTTATTTTATAATCGCTAGACGAATTACATTCATAACGCACGTTCAAGATAAAATGTTGCTCGGTGACGACTCAACTGTGTCGTTGTATTCGCAGTGGACTGTTACTGGATGAACTGGTCGACGTGGTCTACATGTAGCGCCACCTGTGGCGGCGGAACGAAACAACGCTCCAGATGGTTTATGCCAGAGATGAATGGAGGAATTCCATGCACTGGATCGAGCAACGAAACTTACCCGTGCAACACCGACGAATGCCCGAGTGAGTCTTTATAGAAATTATTATAGAACTATAGGAACTAAAACGGAAGAGAGTCGACTTCTGGCCACCGCCACAAAAAACCCACCGACTACAGCAATCATTTTTAGTATCATCTAGCAATATTTATCGGCTAGTGCGTATTTGCGGTTATATATGTCGTTTAGGGGTTGGCGGCAGAGCTAGGGTTAAGCACCGCAGAAGTAGTGTTACCAAACAAGGTAAAATAGAAACTAAGAAGTAGTATACAGAATACGAATGTGTCTGAGAGTCACATTTCGATGGATAGAGAGACTGAGTGCTTGTTTGTTCTCATCCAGCGACGGAATGTCCGGACGGACAGATCTACGACGAGTGTTACGCGGAGTGCAAATATAACTGCATGGATCTCTCGCATACGACTTCTTGCCGCCACCCGCCATACTGCATTCCTAGATGTCGCTGCCCGGATGGCATGCTTCTCCATAACAACACGGTATTGAGCTAGCTTCCTACGCCGTCCCCTCTTCTTTTCTCCTTCTTCCTACTTTCTTCTTCTTATTAATCTTTTTCTTCTCCGTTTTCGCCTCCTCCCCCTTCTCCTTCTTCTTCTTCTTCTTCTTCTTCTTCTTCTTCTTCTTCTTCTTCTTTTTCTTCTTCTTCTTCTTCTTCTTCTTCTTCTTCTTCTTCTTCTTCTTCTTCTTCTTTTTCTTCTTCCGCTTTTTATTTTCTTCCTCCTTGATTGGTGTGTGTATCAATTAGCAGCATATGGAAAGCAACGGAATAATTGCATGATCATATCTTATACACAGTGGCTACGCGTCCGGTCATCCATTACAAAGCTCATCACAGATTTCCAAATCCACGTCACGATTAGTCCACGCCCCCTTTCAAATAGTTGATTTTACTGGATGTACTATTGCTTCAAACGTTACAAAAACACATTTTTTTATAAAAT